AGGGGAAGAAAAATTATATGAAAACAAATGGATGTGAATAATCTGACTTTATTTGGCATGCTAGTACAGTTTAAACTATTAATAAATTAGTATGTACAGTTATCAAAAATGTTGGGTGCTTTCCAAGAAAAGGGTTTCTGAATGTGTACACTCAAGTATATGCAGAATCCTCTGATGTGGAGTTACTGAAGAATGGAGTGTCCTTCTCTGTAAGTCATCTTTAGTGTTTAGAAAGGTTTCGATGACCATTCCAGCACCTGCAAATGACGAAGCCTGAAATTATAGTACTGAATTTAGAAATCCCGATTCAGTCTCCTGATTTTAACAGATGAGGAACCCACTTGTCTTGCCAAAGATTACAAAGCTAGCAGGTGACAGAGCCTGGATTACAAATCAGTCCTCAGAGGGGCTCCGAAATGTCTGTGAAGCTAAGCAAGGGACACCACAGAACTCTAGTCATATCTGCAAGACCCTGGTTTTACTTTCTGCTTAACATAGGATTAAATCCTGATGTGTTCTTTGTGGTTAACAGATGTAGTGACTCAGTTGCTTTTGGGAATGAAATCATGCCTGTGATCACATTCTTGAATATCACTGGTCATCAGTGCCATTGGCTTGTCACCTGGGACATTTGGATTTGGGCACCTTTTCTTCCTGCTCTTATGCTCACAGCAGAAGTAACATTAAAGATGTCTGTTCTTATTTGAAATTCATCATCGGTTATCAGTATCTACAAAACCATCAGATCTGAGTGTGAGACAGTCTTTTTCTCTTTGCAATTCAGCCCCAACAGTTAGCACACACCCTGCTCTGTTCACTTGAGCCATCACTGGTTTCAAAGCAACTGTGGATGACTTCTGGGGTGTCAGTGTCCCTGACAGTGATTTCTCAACACATCAAGAACACGCTGTACACTTTATATAACCTACCAAGCAGTTCTGGCATGCAATTTTTGGCGATTTACTTCTCAGTCTAATGGCTTCTCATAGCCACGCTATTGGCAGGAGAAAAAAGGTCACTGGCCTGTTTTAATCTAAACCCCCAGTGAGTGTACAGCACATTTATTAGTGATAAAATGCTCACATTCTGGCAAGCTATTTTTCTCATTAATTGCAGGAGCCAATTCCACAACAACCCACCAGACATCAGTTAATTTTATGTACACACAAAGGTGTGTAGTGGGGAAAGCTCAGCCACCAACCATGAAGACTTGACGTTAACCCCCATCTAGAGTGAAATTTCATTAGCCTTATTGAAAAACAAATACACACCCAAAAACACAGATACAGAAATATTAGTTGCACTTATCTCACAAAACCACTCAAGCATTTAATTAAATAACTAAGTAGGCATAATTTACTCCTCTCATTCTGTTACCAGATTCACTTCCTTTGGCTATTTTTCATCATGTCCTGATTTTCAAGGAAAACACAGAATATTGATAAGCAAAGTCCATGTTCTTTGACCATTTTGTTTTTTGACTTTTCTTGTTAACTCACTAACTTTGTGAGCTCAGCATATTTTTTCTTTGCACCACGACCAGGACCCAGTATATGAAGCATAATGAAATGGCATATTTAACAGAACACAGATCCCTGATGAAGGTCAGCGCGGTGAGGGAGTAGAAGGTGCAGTCCCAATGGATCAGAGGCAACTGACTTCCTTTAGTTTACAGCAGCAAAGCTGAGGTTAAACTGCAAAGGGCTGATTTTAAAAATCTTCATAAGCGACCAAAATAAAAATCTTTAAGTTAAAGAAACCTAATGCTTTGAGGTAGATGATGCTGTGGTCAGATAACGAAGTCATAAAGATATAAAAATAAAACCGAGGGAAAAAAGCACTGATTTCAAATTATCTTCTTTTATGTTTGGATGGAAACACTTCCAGTTCAAAGTTTAAGCACAAAATCCAGGTATGTCATGTGGTGGACTTGCTTATTCAACCGGAGATAAACTTGGTGCCCGATGGAAAGAATCGACTCTCATGAACAGCAAACCACAAAATGATTGTCCCCGTGAAGAAGCCAGTGACTCTGCGTTAGACTTTTCCAGCTTGCCTTGTTCCCCAAGTTCAGGTTTTAGAACCTAAAAGTCTTCTTCAGCATTTAACTAGTTCTTTGCTGGTGGAAGGGGCTGGGACTGTCTCTCCACACGTGAACTGATCCTTGTCATAAATCACTTTTATAATGAGAGAGCAGCTAGGGCACGTTGCCACGTCTTCCCCGTTCTCCAAATCTTCCTTGGTGATGCAGAAGTTATCCCCACACGGGCAGGGGTAGAAGTAGGTCTCCGAGTCCTCGTCGTATTGGAAGTCCTCGATCTCCACCTCGTCGTGAAATACCGCCATCGTCACTGGGACCGGCACAGGTCCGTCAGTTTCGCCGTCCGACCCAGGCCGGGGCCCTGGGCCAACTTCGTTTGCGCCCGCCCAGACGGGCGTCTTTACAGATCACCGGCGCGCGAGGCCCGCTTCCGGCCTACGGAGGCTCGCTTCCGGCGCAGACAATGATGAAACTCCGGGCATGAGGCCAAAGGGGTGACCGGGCATCGGTCACCATGGAGATGGCGGCTTTAGGGGGCGGAGAGACGGGCGGATAGGGCTCGCGGCTCGAGGTCGGTCCAGCGTCGCTACGCCCATTGGGCGACAGCAACCAATGAAATGTGGGTTTCGCTCGCGCGGCTGTGCGTCACGTCGAGGACGCCGGAAGCTTTCCGGCGCCAGGGCGGCGCTTGGCGCTGTTCTAGCGGCTGGGTCGGCGCGGCGGCGGCGGTGTGGAGCCTCCTGACAGGCGTAGCGTCCCGCATCTCACGTCCGGGGACCTCAGACCTTAAGCAGACTCCGTAGGAGGCCCCGGCCGGCCTAGGTAGCGTCAGCCGGGCCCTTGGCGCCGCTGGCGGAAAGCGCTTTGCGGCGTGAGAAGCGGCGGCGGGAACTGCTCAGCCCCCTGGACCTCCCGGGTGAGGGGCGGAAAGCTTCTCAGGGGTCTTGATTCACCGAGTGACTTTGAGCTGCGAGCAGCGCGTAGCTTGTGATCGCGCCGCGCTTGACTGTCCAGGTACAGCCCGGCCTCTCCCTCAGCCCAGCTTCTCTTCAGAAGCCCGTGAGGTGTGTGGTCGAAAGGACCGAGCGAGGTCTGTTACGCGGGGTTGACGCTCAGTGTCATTCTTCCACCAGTGCTGGGAATCTAGGTGTCATTCATTCCGTGTTGTTAGTCTTTCAACGGAGATACAGAGAGTCAGATGTCTTGACCCAGATCGCACACCTGGGAAATGAAGAGCCTGGCTGTCCCCAAACTCTAGGAACGAATGACTTAACTGGTGTTGAACCACAACTCCGGGAGTTGGTGATGGACAGGGAGGCCTGACGTGCGTGGGGTCGCAAAGAGTCGGACACGACTGAGCGACTGAAATGAACTGAACCACAGTTTCTTCTTTATAAGATAAATGGAATCAGGACGCAGCGTTATTATAATATCATGAGGCCTTAATATACCTTAAAGTGAAATGCAGCTAAAAGGTGATAGGTCTTGTGTTGGTAAAGTGGGGTTTCATGGGAGTTTTGCTCTATTACTAAGCATTTATTCAAATCTTGGTAGAGCAGGAAGGCGGTGGGGAAAAGCCCTATTGAGAAGCTGATCTGGGCTCAGAAGATGACTGTTTGGATCTCGATCTGGGAGCTGGATATTTACATTCTTTGGCCTTATTTCCTCTTCTGACTGAAGAAGAGTTGGATTAGAGATGATTTACAAGATTCCTTTCAGCTCTAACATTTTACTTTTGCGTGGAAATTGAGAGTTTTACTTGATTCAGCAATCACATGTACCATATTTAGTTNGCCCCCCCGTTTTAAAAACTGACTCCTTACCTTGTCATAAATCACTTTTATAATGAGAGAGCAGCTAGGGCACGTTGCCACGTCTTCCCCGTTCTCCAAATCTTCCTTGGTGATGCAGAAGTTATCCCCACACGGGCAGGGGTAGAAGTAGGTCTCCGAGTCCTCGTCGTATTGGAAGTCCTCGATCTCCACCTCGTCGTGAAATACCGCCATCGTCACTGGGACCGGCACAGGTCCGTCAGTTTCGCCGTCCGACCCAGGCCGGGGCCCTGGGCCAACGTCGTTTGCGCCCGCCCAGACGGGCGTCTTTACAGATCACCGGCGCGGGGAGGCCCGCTTCCGGCCTACGGAGGCTCGCTTCCGGCGCAGACAATGATGAAACTCCGGGCATGAGGCCAAAGGGGTGACCGGGCATCGGTCACCATGGAGATGGCGGCTTTAGGGGGCGGAGACACGGGCGGATAGGGCTCGCGGCTCGAGGTCGGTCCAGCGTCGCTACGCCCATTGGGCGACAGCAACCAATGAAATGTGGGTTTCGCTCGCGCGGCTGTGCGTCACGTCGAGGACGCCGGAAGCTTTCCGGCGCCAGGGCGGCGCTTGGCGCTGTTCTAGCGGCTGGGTCGGCGCGGCGGCGGCGGTGTGGAGCCTCCTGACAGGCGTAGCGTCCCGCATCTCACGTCCGGGGACCTCAGACCTTAAGCAGACTCCGTAGGAGGCCCCGGCCGGCCTAGGTAGCGTCAGCCGGGCCCTTGGCGCCTGGCGGAAAGCGCTTTGCGGGGTGAGAAGCGGCGGCGGGAACTGCTCAGCCCCCTGGACCTCCCGGGTGAGGGGCGGAAAGCTTCTCAGGGGTCTTGATTCACCGAGTGACTTTGAGCTGCGAGCAGCGCGTAGCTTGTGATCGCGCCGCGCTTGACTGTCCAGGTACAGCCCGGCCTCTCCCTCAGCCCAGCTTCTCTTCAGAAGCCCGTGAGGTGTGTGGTCGAAAGGACCGAGCGAGGTCTGTTACGCGGGGTTGACGCTCAGTGTCATTCTTCCACCAGTGCTGGGAATCTAGGTGTCATTCATTCCGTGTTGTTAGTCTTTAAACGGAGATACAGAGAGTCAGATGTCTTGACCCAGATCGCACACCTGGGAAATGAAGAGCCTGGCTGTCCCCAAACTCTAGGAACGAATGACTTAACTGGTGTTGAACCACAACTCCGGGAGTTGGTGATGGACAGGGAGGCCTGACGTGCGTGGGGTCGCAAAGAGTCGGACACGACTGAGCGACTGAACTGAACTGAACCACAGTTTCTTCTTTGTAAGATAAATGGAATCAGGACGCAGCGTTATTATAATATCATGAGGCCTTAATATACCTTAAAGTGAAATGCAGCTAAAAGGTGATAGGTCTTGTGTTGGTAAAGTGGGGTTTCATGGGAGTTTTGCTCTATTACTAAGCATTTATTCAAATCTTGGTAGAGCAGGAAGGCGGTGGGGAAAAGCCCTATTGAGAAGCAGATCTGGGCTCAGAAGATGACTGTTTGGATCTCGATCTGGGAGCTGGATATTTACATTCTTTGGCCTTATTTCCTCTTCTGACTGAAGAAGAGTTGGATTAGAGATGATTTACAAGATTCCTTTCAGCTCTAACATTTTACTTTTGCTTGGAAATTGAGAGTTTTACTTGATTCAGCAATCACATGTACCATATTTAGTTTATGTTAGCATAATACATATGTACATTTCCCTTTGCTTATTTATGCATACACAAACGTTTGCATGAATTACCAATTTTGTGTATGCTGAAGTTCCAGCTGGTTTAGCTCTTTTAAAGCTTGAAAACCTAATGGCAAAGGAGTCTTCGGGAGAAAATTTGGAAGTTACATTTAGAAGGTTTATAGAATATTTCAGAGGCCTCACAAACATTCCATTTTGCTTATTTGGAGATCTAACCAGCAGTTGGAAAATGTTTGTTAAACGTTTGTTAAACTCGTTGGGGGTTAACTGGACTGATTCTGCTTTGAGCAAAGGAGCAGAAAAGCTCTTTTGGTAAAGCCTGTGTAGCTCAGAGGCTGTTTGCTGTGTCTTTGTGAGTGAAGTGAAAGTCGCTCAGTCGTGTGCGACTCTTTGCGAGCCCATGGACTATTCTCCAGGCCAGAATACTGGAGTGGGTAGCCTTTTCCTTCTCCAGGGGATCTTCCCAACCCAGGGATCAAACCGAGGTCTCCCACATTGCGGGCGGATTCTTTACCAGCTGAGCCACAGGGGAAGTCTTTGTAGACGAGGATTTTCCCAAATAACCTCTTGGAGAGAGGAGGACAGAAGGGAGTTGTTACTGTCAGAACTGTAGTCCCAGTAATCATTTTGAGGTTGGGAATCTTTTTTGTTCTTTAGTACTTCTGAGCATAAGTACCTCCAGAATAAAGGTGAGTTGTTTTTGAAGGTCCAGAAATGGGTGCATATTTGGTTCATGAAAGTGTAAATTGGTAGACCCTTTAGAAAGCAGTTTGGATCTATCAAAAACAATTTGCTGAGGAGGTTTGAAATCTGAAGTTAGTAATCCTAAAAGTTACAGAAGTTGTTGGGTAATTTTTCTTCATAATTTCTTTGTAATTTTCCAAGTTTTCTTTGAATAGGTATTACCTCAAGTGGAAAAAGAAAAGTGAATGAACCACTTTATTAATAGTAGGTGAAACTGTGTGCCAGACCCTGTACCAGATGGTATTTACATGCATCATGTTATTAAAACAACGAGGTATAGGTATCACTCCCATTTTTAACATTGGGAAACCTGAGGCTTAGAGGCTTAGGTTTAGAAACTTGTGCTGAAAGGGGCCAAGCCGATGAATGGCAGTAAGCTATGGTGAGAACTCGGGCCTAGCTGAGCCCAGAAAGTGGGTCTTCATGACCTTCAGTGCCATCTGTGACCTGATGGTCCTTGAAGCAGGGCTGTGTTAAACAGACAGCTCTGGCACTCTATGGAGTGCTCAGATTTTCCTCTAGAGTGGTGCTGGTTCCCTTGAGACCTGATTTGGGGGTCTCCTTGGCCTTGCCTACTGCTTTCATCCTGCCATCTGTTGCCACATCCCTTGTTTGGCCAGAGGTGGGTCCCCTTTTGGTTCTATCAGTTTGAGTGCATACTGTGCTGAAGAAAGTAAAAGTGTAGCAAAACCTGTGATGCATTATTTTACGCCACCCAACGTTTTTGAATAAAACATAACAGTGACTACTGAACTATTTTTATTCCTAGAAAAGAGTGGACACATTTCATAATGAGATATCTTTGGACTCTGAGAGTATGACAAAAACAAGTTTACTAGTAGCTGTGCAGTCATTTGAGATCACAGATTTATGGTTTAAAAATAATTTTTTAATAAATCGTAATGCTGCTGATTTGGAAAACAACGCTGACCAAAATTCTTAGCATGAGATTGAATGTAGAACTAGGTCATACTTATGTCATAGCAGCTGTGTTTTGAGTGTTGTTGTTGGTCAGGCTGGGCAGGTTTTTTTGGGCACATAACCCACTGCCCCTCTAGATTGGAGTTCTTTTTTAGTGATCCTCCTGCCTGCCAAGTATTTCCCCAGACATGTACCTTTTTCAGCAACCCAGTGAGGTAGTCTTGGCATTTCCTTTAAAAAGGGGAGGAGGTAACTGGCCCAAGGTCAAAAGCTAGAAAGGAGTCAGATCTGAGCCCGGCTCTGCTGGTTCTGAGTCCAGTGCTCCGCAGTAACTTGTCTTTCACTCGGGTCCCCTTTCCAAATGCCGAGAACCCCTGTGCTTCCTCCCTGGCACCTGGGGTTCTGAATCAGCAAGTGCCGTGCTAGCTCTGAGTTTATTTCTGTGCCTTCATGCTCTTTGAGGCATTCTTGGGGTTTTTTTTCTCTTTCTCACTGCTTGTTCACACATCATCCTGTCTCAGCAAGTGATAGGGCTCTGGTTCCAAAATCTAGTCCATATTCATCTGTTTCTGTCTTAGTTTCATTCTGTCTGAGCTTAGCCTGGCACCTTCTCACTGAACTTCCTGCTTCAGCTCTTGGTCTGTTTTTTACAAGGCAGCTGAAGTGATCCTTTAGTGTGAATGAGATCATGACCCTCCTCTGGTTTGTTCAAACCCTCCAGTTGCCTCCCTTTGCCTTTAGCAGAAGGCCTGCCCCGGCCGTGGCCTGCTGTGGCCTGGCACGTGTCCCCGCGCTGCGGCTCGTCTGTCACGGCCCCCGCGCTGCGGCTCGTCTGTCACGGCCCCCGGCTGTCTGCCCGCCAGTCACACTGGGTGTGCTCCGTCTCACACACCAGCCTGGTTTCTGTGACGGGGCCTCTGCTCCTTTGCTCTGCACTTGGCTGTCTCTTCCTCATCATTCAGGTCTCAGCTCAGACTCCTCTTGAGAGAGACCTTTCCTGATGTTCCCTAGCCTCCATCACTCTTATTTCCTTTGCACACTTACTGTTATCCGTGTCTTTTACTTATCTGTTTATTAGCTGCTGTAGACATTGTGATAAAAGCTTCATGTGATGGCAAAGGCCTGTGTCTGGCTCTTTATTGTGTCTCCGCAACCTAAAATAGTGCTGGGTGCCCCAGTAATTGTTAAATAATTTGAATGTACTTGTTGAACAGAAACTAGTATAGTTAATTTTAAATCTTAAATTTAATCTGTTGCTTGTAGGCCTGCTTAAATGGCTATATGTTTCATTGACTATTTATGATACTTTTCTCTGTTCCAGAAATAAAATAACTTTTGGGTGAGATAAGGCCCAAATGAGGATACAAACGTTGATGGAATGTTCTTTTTTGTATGGTTTTGAAAATTACTTAATATATGTTAATTTTCTATAGTTAATAATGCTTACATTGAATGAATAAAACCATTGAACGCATTCCAAGATATGGATAGGTTTTTTCCTTTTTGTTTTGTATTGTTTACTTTTTTATTTTTTGAATGTGGCATTAAAATGTGGCCATTTTAATTTTATTTTTTTTAATGACGTATGAGTGCACGCATGCTCAGTTGTGTCCTACTCTTTGCAACCTCCTGGATTGTAGTCTGCCAGGCTCCTCTGTCCATGGAATTTTCCAGGCAATACTGGAGTGGGTTGCCATTTCCTACTCCAGGGGATCGAACCTGCATCTCTTGTGTCTTCTGCATTGGCAGGCTGCCTGGGAAGCCCTTATTGAAGTATAGTTGACTTACAATATCCTTTAGTTTCAGGTGAACACCACAATGATTCAGTTATATTACACATACATGTATATATATATCAGGTTCTTTTCCCTTAGAGGTTTTTACATAATGCTGAGTATCATTCCCTTTGTTATACAGTAGGTCCTCACTGGTTGTCTGTTTTATATATAGTAGTGTGTGTTTGTTAATCCCAAGCTCCTAACATATACCCCCCTTCCTCTTTGGTAACCATAAGTTTGTTTTCTGTGTCTGTGAGTCTGTTTCTGTTTTGTCGATAAGTTCATTTATATCATACTTTAGATCCATGTGTAGGTGATCCCATATGAGTGTCTTTCTCTGACTTCACCTCGTATGTTCATCTTAGGTCCATCCGTGTTGCTGCAAACAGCATTATTTCATTCTTTTTTAAAGGCTGAGTAATATTCCATTGTGTATTTTATCCACTTTTGTATCCATTTCATCTTTCAGTGGACATTTAGGTTACTCCCATGTCTTGGCTTTCTAAATAGTGCTGCAGTGAGCACTGGAGTGTGTGTATCTTTTCAGTTGTGATTTTCTCCAGGTACATGTCCAGGAGTGGGATTGAAGGATCATATGGTAGCTCTATTTTTAGTTTTTTAAGGAGCCTCCATACTCTTCTCCATAAAGGCTATACCAATTTGCATCCCCACCTATAGTGTAGAATTGTTCCTTTTTCTGCACCCTCTTTAGCATTTAGTATTTGTGGACTTTTTTGTTGATGGCCATTCTGACTGGTGTGAGGTTATACCTCATTGTAGTTTTGATTTGCATTTCTCTCATAATTAGTGATGTTGAGCATCTTTTCATGTGCCTTTTTTGCTGTCTGTGTGTCTTTGGGGAAATGTCTGTTTAATCTTATGCCCATAGTTGATTGGGTTATTTTTTTTAATATAGAGCTGTTTGTGTATTTTGGAGATTAAGCCCTTGTGGGTCAGTCACATTGTTTGCAAATATTTTCTCCCATTCTGTGGGTTGTCTTTTTATTTGGTTTATGGTTTCCTTTGCTTTGCAAAAGCTCTTAAGTTTAATTAGGTCCCATTTGCTTATTTTTGTTTTTATTTTTATTACTCTAGGAGACAGATTGAAAAAAAATCTGTGATTTCTGTAAAAGAGAGTGCTGTCTATGTTTTCCTCCACAATTTTTATAGTATCCAGTCTCACATTTAGGTCTCTAATTATTTTGAGTTTATTTTTGTGTGTGGTGTTAGGGAGTGTTCTAATTTCATTCTTTTGCATGTAGCTGTCCAGTTTTCACAGCCCCACTTATTGGAGAGACTGTCTTTTCTCCATTGTATATTCTTACCTCTGTCATAGATTAATTGACCATGGGTGCGTGGGTTTGTTTCTGGGCTTTGTATTCTCTTCCACTGATCTATATGTTAGTCTTTATGCCACCATACTCTTTTTATGACTGTAGCTTTGTAGTATAGTCTGAAGTCATGGAGTCTTCAGCTCTGCATTTCTCAAGATTGTTTTGGTTCTTCAGGTTTTTTTTGTGTTTCTGTACAAATTAAAACATTTTTTTTTGTTCTAGTTCTGTGAAAAATTCCATTGGTAATTTGATAGAGATTGTGTTGAATCTGTAGATTGCCTTGGGTAATATAGTCATTTTGACAGTATTGATCCTTCTAACCCAAGAACATGGTCTATCTTTCCGTTTGTGTCATCTTTGATTTCTTTGATCAGCTTCCTGTAGTTTTAAGAGTATAGGTCTTTTATTTCCTAAGGTAGCTTTATTCCTAAGTATTTTATTCTTTTTGATGTATGGTAATTGCAATTCTTTTCTTAATATCTCATTCTTATCTTTCATTGTTAGTGTATCGGAATGCAACAGATTTCTATGCATTAATTTTGTATATTGGGACCTTACCAAATTCATTGATGAGCTCTAGTAGTAAATTACCTAGTATGTGTTAATTTTCTATAGTTAATTAATACTTTCCTTGACTATATGAAGCCACTGGATGTGTTTCAAATTATGGATAGGTTTTTTATTTAAATACCCTATTGCTTTAGGAGGCACTTTTGCACACAGTTTGATAAAATACCCTTTATTTGCCAGTAGGTGGCACTCTTGGTTATGATTACTATTGTTAAGAAACAAGATTTTAGAATTTTAAAGAAAACAGCTTTTAAAAGTTAAGTTTTCTTTGTTTTCCAGTTCAAGTTGAGCAGTAGATCAAACAGTATAATCACTAAAAGATGTGTCTTAGATGAGGACAACTTACTGTAGCAATAGATGTCCAAAACATTGAGCAGAACAATGTGTCCGTGTCTGCCTACTTATCAGTTAAATTTTGTCAGGGAGGTTGGCCCCAAATGACGTGTACCTGTTATCAGTCCAGCCACTGGTCTGGTTGTTCATGGGGTGGGGACCCTAAGCAGCGGGAGACACAGGCGGTTCAGGAATGATGAGTGGGCGTCCCTGGTGGCTCAGCAGTAAGGGATCCACCTGCACCGAAGGAGACGCGGCTTCAATTCNATGGCACTGTTTGTGTTCCAACCCGTGTGTGTGCCGGAGGGCTCAGTGTGATTCCAGAATATTGCGTGTCAGCCAGCCAGCCAGCCACACACCTAATGACTCCCAAACTCGTGGCCCTCTGAAGTTAAGTTTTGCCTTCCTTCTTTCAGTGATTAATATGCCATTTTTGGTTTAGCACATTCAGAGGAGAGAAACTACGTTTTACATGAGGTGGAAAGAGGCCTTTTAGTTCGTTCATTTACTAGAGAGAAAAACAGCAAGTAGCATGTTTATCCACAATGGCAAGAAATAGGTCTTTTATCCAAAGGCTAGTTAGAGAGCAGTGTCTTTTTAGTATGATTTCGATGTAACTGAATGAATTACATATGATAATTGTCACCTCTCAATTTATTTACTTTCATTTCCTGTCTGTATCTCCTAAAATATCTTCAAGCTCCCGAAGGTCTTTGTTTTGTTCATGTGGCCCCAGGGCCTGCTACATGATGGACTCTTAATAATAAATATTGGTCAAATGAAGGGCTAAATTACTGAGTGTGGAGTAGGAATATAGACTTCACTTGAATATTTTCTAACATTGTATTTGTTGCATTTCATTTATGTGGTACTCCTAAAGAGCTCAGGAAATAGACTGTTCACATACGTTTTCATTTATTCTGAAGCCAACTAAGATCGGAAAGGACAGATATATGTGGCAATATCACTTGTTACAAGTGGCCGTGCTTAGCTGTGTGCTTGCTTGCTAAGTCACTTCAGTCATGTCCCACTCTTTGTGATCCCATTGACTGTAGGGTTCGATGCCTGTGTCCTTGGTTCTCTAGGCAAGAGTACTGGAGTGGGTTGCCATGCCCTTCCCCAGGGGATCTTCCCAGCCCAGTGATCAAACCCATGTCTTTTATGTCTCCTGCATTGGCAAGTGAGTTCTTTACCACTAGCACCACCTGGGAAGCCCTTTTAAGCAAAGAAGGATTTAAGAATTAGCAGAGAAAAAACAGAGTGATAGGAAGCAAAAAAAATATATCATCTGACTCCCAATGAGTAGTTTTCCTGATAGGCAGTAGTTTTTAGAATTTGATATGTTAGAGAATCTTTCTGTTTTTTCTTTTTTCTTGATTTTGAAATTTGACATGTAAGCGGAAGTACATAAATCTTAAGACTGCTTGGTTGAATTTTTAAGAGAAAATTTTTTGGGGGGAGCAATTTTAGGTTCACAGCAAGATTGAGGGCAAGTACAGAGGTTTCCCTTCTACTGCCTGCCCCCACATATGCACAGCCCCCCATCGTCCACAGCCCCCACCAGAGTGGGGCCTTGGTTATAATCGGTGAACCTGCACTGACTCGGAGAGCCATCCCAGGTCTAACAGCATGCTCACTCTTGGTGTTGTATGTTCTGTGGATGTGGACAAATGTATGATGACATGTATCCATCATTATGGTACCATTTGGAGTATTTTGACTGCTCTGAAACTCCTCTTGTGTTGGAGGAATTTTTTTCAAAATGAAAATACCCATATAATCAACATTCAGATTAAGAAACAACTTTGTTATGGCCACCTCACCATGGGTAACTGCTCATTTGATTTCCAGTTCCACAGGTTCATTTTTTTCTGTTTTTGTACTATATGTGACTGGACTCGTAGAATAGGTGCTTTGTACAGGTGCTCTTTTGAGTCTTTTCTGTCATTCTTTTCATTTACTGAGGTATTTGTGTTATTTATTTTACTGCCTGTGGTTGGAGTCTGTTTATTCTCATTGCTGTGGAAAATTTGCCTGCCCTTTTCTCTTTATCTCGTAAGAAATATTGAAGACTTATGTGGTGCTCTGGGCGGAATATAATTACTAGGCAGTGATAAAATCTGCTGTCCTCTTCTGTGGTAGTGTAAGATCAGCCCCACGAGCTTGGTCAGAGATTTTGGAAACTAATAGAGGACGGGAATATTTGACAGCACCGATAATGATTGATACGTATGCATGTGTTGTGTGGATCAGCTGACTCAACTCTAAATAGCAGCAGCAGTTTTGTGAGGGTAACGTTAAGTTTCTAATTGTTTTTCTGTTAGATCAGCTCATAGCATCAGCAATAAAAATCCAAACTCTTTTTCACTGGCCCCTAAGACAGTCTGATGTTTCCCTCCTTTTTCCTGGAATGTTGTGACTTTGAGTTTGTTGTCTCCCAGGAAGCACCATGGTGGTCGTGATCCCCAGGCTGCTGCGAGGCTCTGTGGGCGCCATCTGCACTCAGGCGGCTCCGCTGAGATTGACACCCAGCGCTTTGCGCCACCTCACTCGGAGCAGGTGAGTGGTCACCTTCAGTGTCGTTTGCGGTGGATTTTCAAAGAGCGTGGACCTGCTGAAGACAGTTGGAGGCAGGTCGTAGCATCTTTCTGAACTGTGCCTGCTGTCAGTGGGTTGTGAGCTTTAGTTAGTTTATAGATTCCCATGGGCTGTTCTCTAGGATCCATAATGTTGTATCCTGGACAGCCAGTTATATTGCGTACTGGATGGCGTTCCTTTCCACTCACAGGTACTGGATAGTCATGATAATTAATACTTTAATTAATTTTTAGGAGGATAATACTTAAATAACCTAATCTTACTTTCTGTTAAAGTGTAATGAAATCCAAAAGGAGACCTGATCACTTGGAGAGAACCGCAGATGTCGTTCGCCAGGAGGTTTGTATCTCGGGCCAGGGCAGGTTCTCCTAGCTTGCAGTCTGCTCACGGTTAAGCCCGGCTTACCACGGCGGCTTTAGATGAGCTTGAGTCCCTTTGAGGGACAGTCTGGGCAGGTTTGTTATATTTCTCTCCAGAACTTCTCCAAATGTGACATAGGACAACTGATTTGAGCAGACGATAGCCGAATACTGCAGTCATTCCCTTGAAACTCAGAATGGATGGATTTGTTTCTGATGAAGGGAGTGTTGTAGCAACGGAGGGAACTGACCTCACAGGCATAAGGTTTAGGGTACTATTTTAGGAAGAGATCTTCCTTTAGAGCCTCAATTTTATGAGTAGCTTGCCTTTTCTTTCTTTCTTTTGACACCATGTCTCAAAGTCTTTGTTCTTATCCGTACTTTAGAACACCTTCTTATTTCATCAAAAGGGAGAAAGCACTAACATCTGAGAAAGGAAGGTGAATGAGCTCTCGTTACCTTCCCATGTGCAGAATTTTTCCTCCACATTCAGACCATGCAAGGGCTAATCCACCGACCCGAAGGGGTGTCACGGGCTGGGAAGTAAAGAATCCTCCCCCTTTCCCTCTGGGAGTAACCCCATTTTCTTTTAAAAACATAAATTAGATATTTGATTTTTCTTTTGAATGATTCTTCAAATACTTGGTTTGTGTTTAGCTTAGTTTTATAAGTATTTTTAACAGTTAAAAAACTATTTTATATAAAGAAGGATTATCCACTTCTATAAACATGGTCTGAAATTATATTGTTGCTGTAGTTTAGTTTTTAGTATTAATAATAGAATTTAATGTAAGAGAGCATTATTTAGGCTCCACTTTTCAAGCTTATTCTGCTTTCAGAAAATTGCTTTGCGGCCAAGAGTGGTGTATTTGTGGATTCAGCTTTAAGCTCGTGTGATTTTGAGGAGTCTGTGTAAAAGTAGTTCAGCATAATAGATTTATGGATGTGTAGGAAAATATGCCTTTCCCACTGATGATAAATCTGAAAATACTTTTTTTGGTTTGTTCCACACACAAAAGTGCTGATTCTGTAAATGTGATGTTTGTTAGAATTCCTTTTTGAAAAGTGAAATCTTGCCAGTTTTGAAAAAAAGTTTATTTAGCAGGCTTGGACTGTACTTTTTTCTTTTGTATTTTGAGGCAGGTAGAATTAGAGTTGAGTTTGCCAGCCTTTCCTTAAAGGGCAAGATAGTGAATGTTTTAGGCGTCCAGGGCCAAGCTTAGTTACAACTACAAAACTGCCTTTGTCGTGTGAGGATGGCCCTAGGCAGCATGTGGGCAGATTGGTGGGGCTGTTTGCCAGTGAGATGGTGTTTACCAGAACACCCGGATTTGGCCTGTAGTTTGATTGTAGTTTGCCAATCCCTCAGTTAGAGTAGCATTTCAAAATTTGTCAGGACAAAACTATGGAGACTTGTGAGAGGTTATTTTGAGCCAAGTTGAAGAAAACTTGACAGAAAGTGAGTGTAAGCTCTGTTAGTGTGAACAGCTGAGGGTTTTCACACCCGGAAGTCAGAGATTTGTGGGGTAATTCCAGTTGTGGCATCGCTTTGGGGGAGGCAGGGGCGGGTGTTTTCCAGCGGCCACTCCTCTCCTGTTTCTCGTTTCCACACCTCTACCACAGGAGAGCAGGACCTGGGGGCAGGGGCTGGGTGAAGCCTGGGGGCGTTGGGAGCTGTGACCTCTGCGGTGTGAGGTGACCGCCGCCGTGTGAGGTGACCTCCATGGTGTGAGGTGACCGCCGCCGTGTGAGGTGACCGCCGCGGTGTGAGGTGACCTCCACCGTGTGAGGTGACCTCCGCCGTATGAGGTGACCTCCGTGGTGTGAGGTGACGGTGTGAGGTGACCGCCGCGGTGTGAGGTGACCGCCGCCGTGTGAGGTGACCGCCGCCGTGTGAGGTAACCTCCGTGGTGTGAGGTGATGGTGTGAGGTGACCGCCACCGTGTGAGGTGACCGCCGCGGTGTGAGGTGACCTCCACCGTGTGAGGTGACCGCCGCGGTGTGAGGTGACAGTGTGAGGTGACCTCCGCGGTGTGAGGTGACCACTGCCATGTGAGGTGACCTCCGCGGTGTGAGGTGACCACTGCCGTGTGAGGTGACCTCCGCCATGTGAGGTGACCGCCGCCTCACCCACGCCCCCAGAGGGCACACGCCCCCGCCCCCTCCTTGCTGTAGAGCAGGCCCTCAGCTTGGACGCGAGGGCACCGCTGGCTCCTCAGGTCTGGCCGGATCACATCCGCGTTCCCTCATCTGCCGGCCCTGCCGTGTGGCGAGAGTGCTTCACAGACTTCCCCACGTGTCACTTCCCGTCAGCTCCAGCCCGGGAGGCAGCCCAAGGGTTGCTTGGCCTCTGCCTCTTCAGCAAGAGGGGGCAGAGCCTGGAACCAGAGGGGAGCGCCACGTCTCTGATTCCTGGTCCCTGGGACCCTGCGTCCTGAACGGGGCACTCACCCCGCCGGGAGGGTCCTTTCTGGACTTGCAGGGTTCCCTCTGCAGGATCCCTGAACGGCCATCCTGTGACGTTAACACCTCTTACCTGGGCCCTGTAGAGTCCTGCTGATGCAGGGAACTGAGCTCCGAACTCAGGCTCACGTTTTTTCCTTTTAAGGATCCAGTGTAAGCAGTCTGGGTAACCTTAGAGATGTCAAGGAGATCAGAGTAGAGATACTGCAAGGCAATGAGGATTATTCAGGCAAGACTAAGCTTTTGCCCCAGGAGTCACTCACTCCCTGCTCGGCCTCTATGGAGGACTGGCTCTCTGAGCAAGACATACTCTTTTCATCAATTACTGGGAGATTTTGGTAATGAAAGAATTTTAAACTTACTAATCCTTACATTTTCTTTGAGAAACATACCAGACGCTAGGCTAGGTCCTGGGGCTGCAGCGTTGAAAACGATAGATAAGGTTCCTAATCTCAGATTCTCAGTGGTCAGAAGAAACTGATTCTATGCACCTGATTAATTCTAGTGCACTAATCTTTTTGCTCCCTCCCTCTCTTTTTTTCTTTCTTTTTAAAAAAATTAAGTTTATTTTTATCAAAGTATGATTGATTGGCAGTATCATGTTAGCTTCAGGTGTACAGCACAGCAGTTCAGTTATATACATGCACACTTATGTGTGTCTTTCCAGGTTCTTCACTTAGAAGTTATTACAAAATACTGAGTCTAGTTCCCTGTGCTATGCAGTAGGTCCTTGTTGGTTATCTGTTTTATATATAGTAGTCTGTGTATCTTAATCCCTAACTCCTAACTTATTCATACCCCTCTCCCTTTTGTGAGTCTCTGTTTTGTAAATAAGTTTATTTGTATCATTTTTTTAGATTCCACATATAACTGATACCATATGATACTTGTCTTTTTCTCTCTCTGGCTTCAGTTCATATGATAATCTGTAGGTCCATCCATGTTGCTTGAAATGGCATGTTTCATTGTTTATGGCTGAGTAATATACCATTATATACATACATACCTATATATATATATACACACACATACATACATACATATGTATTACATATATACGTACCACATTTTCTCTGTCCATTCATCTGTCGACGGACATTTAGGTTGCTTCCTTGTCTTCACTGCTCTAACCATTGGGTCGCGTGACGAGGGATCAGACCTGTGTCCCTTGTATTAGAAGGCAGATACCATTGGACCACCAGAGAAGCCCCTCGTAATTTTGACTTGCATTTCTCTAATAATGAGCATTGTTGCGCATCTTTTCATGTGTTTATTGGCCATCTGTATATCTTCTTTGGAGAAGTGTCTATTTACATCTTCTGCCCAGTTTTTGATTGGGTTGTTTGATTTTTGATTTAAGCTGTGTAGTCTATTTGTGTATTTTGGAGATTAATCCTTTGTTGGTTGCATTGTTTACAAATTTTTTCTCCCATTCTGTAGTTGTCTTTTCATTTTATTTATGGTTTCCTTTGCTTTCCAAAAGCTTTTAAGTTTAATTAGGCCCCATTTGTTTATTTTTGTTTTTATTTCTATTACTCTAGGCGATGGATCCAATAGGATACTGCTATAATTTATGTCAGAGTGTCCTGCATATATTTTCCTGTACGAGTTTTCTAGTATCCAGACTTGCTTTTAAGTCTCTGACTCACTTTGAGTTTATTTTTGTCTGTAGTGTTAGGGAACATTCTAATTTTATTTTTTTACATGTAGCTGTCCAGTTTTTCAAGCACCACTTATTAAAGAGACCATCTTTCTCCGTTATGTATTTTTGCCTCCATCATAGATTAATTGACTATAGGTCTATGGGTTTATTTCTAGGCTTTCTATCCTGTCTGTTGATTTGTATGTTTGTTTTTATGCCAGTACCCTACTCTTGATGACTGTAACTTTGTAGTATAGTCTGAAATCAAGAGTCTGATTCCTCCAGCTATACTTTACTTCCTCCAGATTGTTTTGGCTCTTCAGGATCTTTTGTGTTTCCATAGAAATTAAAACATTTTTGGTTCTAGTTTTATGAAAATGCCTTTGATAATTTGATAGGGTTTTCATTGAATCTGTAGATTGCATTGGTTAGTATAGTCATTTTGACAATATTGATTTTTCCAATCCAAGAACATGGTATATCTTTCCATCTGTTTGTGTCATCTTTGATTTCTTTCATCAGCATCTCATAGTTTTCAGAGTACAAGTCTTTTATCTCCCAAGGTAGGTTTATTCCTAGGTATTTTATTCTTTTTGATGTGATAGTGAATGTGGTTGTTTCCTTTCTCTTTCTGATCTTTCATTGTTAGTGTGTAGGAATGCAGCAGATTTCTTGTGTTAAGTTTCTATCCTACAACTTGACTTAATCACTGATGAACTCTAGAAGTTTTCTGGTAGCATCTTTAGGATTTTCTCTGTATAGTATAATGTCGTCTGCAAATAGCAGCAGCAGCAGTTTTACTTCTTTTCCAGTGTGGATTCTACCCCCGCCTTTTTTTCTCTGAGTGCAGTGACTGGGACTTCCAGAAGTATGTT